CTCAACCAGGTACTTCTTCGCAAGAAATGGTTGAAGAATCTCCTTTCTTCACTCCAAACCCGTTCCAAGTGCTTCATAATGACAGAGAAGTAATGGAGTCAGCAGCAGTACCCAGGGAACCAAGGCCTCCTCCGATATTTGTTAAAAACATCAAAAATTTTCAACTACTGTGTACACAGCTAAACGAAATCTGCTCCGGCAGTTATTCTTGCCTCAACAGGACTAACGACACAAAAATAACACCTGATACTGCAGAAGCCTACCGAAAAATTGTGAAGTACCTGTCAGAAACTAATGCAAATTTCCACACGTACCAGCTGAAACAGGAGAGATCGCTACGAGTGGTGGTTAGAAATTTACACTCCTCAACCCCAACTGAAGTGATAAAAGAAGAACTAGCGACGCTTGGTTTCAAAGTGCGTCAGGTAACCAACGTTCTGAAGGAGAATAAGGAGCAGCCAGGAGTGAGTAATAAAGTTCCACTACCTTTATTTTTCGTGGATCTAGAGCCATCACCTGGCATTGAAAAAATATATGATATCAAGAGATTGTACTACACTATCGTGAAGATAGAGAAGCCATACCCCAAGAAGGAAATTGTGCAGTGCCACAATTGCCAGGCGTATGGCCACACGAAAACTTATTGTCACCATCTGCCGCGTTGCGTGAAATGCGGTGAACAGCACAAATCTGTGGAGTGCACCAAACCAACACAATATCCTGCAGTGTGTGCACTATGCCAGGAGGGACACCCGGCCAACTACAAAGGCTGCCAAACCTATAAGAGCCTCAAATCCAGATACCAGAAGAACCGGATTCAAGATGAGACAACCAGACCAAGAAGAGAACCTTCTAGAATCGTTAACAATAATTTATCATACTCCGAACTACTTGGAGGTAAGAACCCCAATAATACATGTGAAGCCCTGCCGCAGCAACTACCTCAGCCCCAATCTCAATATTCTGTTCATCCTAACACACATAATCATCAACAACCTCAAATTCCTCATATTCCTCCTCCTTCAAATGCAACAGATCTCACTAGTTTGTTAGCATCTTTCCTAACCGATTTCAAATCCCTAGTCACTCCACTCATATCACTCCTTACAAATCTCGTATCTCACCTCATCCCTCCTTTGAAAAATCCTTAATGACCCACATACCAAAACCCATGTCCATTCTCCTTTGGAATGCGAATGGTGTTAGAAATCACGTTGACGAACTAACAGCTTTACTACAAGACAAGAACATTGACGTAGCCCTAATTACAGAAACTCGACTGACCATAAAACAGCATTTAAAAATCCCACAGTATTTAACATACCGTACTGACCACCCTGATGGCAGAGCACATGCCGGCACTGCTGTCATCGTACACCAATCCCTCTCCCATCACTTACTCCCATTACCTACTCAAGATTTCCTACAGTCAACCGCTATTGTAATCAAAGCCTTCTCCTTTCCAGTCACCCTTGCATCAGCATATTGCCCTCCTAACAGATCCATATCCAAAGTCCAGTTCAGTTCTCTCCTCAACTCCTTAGGTCATCATTTCATCCTGGGTGCAGACTTAAATGCCAAGCATCAAGTTTGGGGTTCAAGAACCACGAATTCTCGTGGCAGAACATTTCTGTCTGCACTCAATACCCAACGTTTCAGTCTCCTTCCACCCAACTCACCTACCTACTGGCCCACAGATCCTAACCGCAATCCCGATATCCTTGATTTTTTCATCCACAGTGGCTTAGGTCCCCTCAATCATTCCCTTAACCCTCTTGGCGAACTATCCTCAGATCATAGTCCATTATTACTCCAATTATCTCTAGCTCCTATTCCTAAGTCTTCTCCACCGTCCTTCATCAGAGGCCCAGTTAACTGGAAACTCTTTCACCAAATCCTTACAGATAAAATTGACCTCAGAATGACCCTGAAAACCCCAGATGACCTTGACAATACCGTACACTTTTTTACCACCACTATCCAACAAGCAATCTGGACTGCTTCCTTTCCAAACCACTCCTCAAGAACTCCTAAGAAAAATAAGTTACCTCAACACCTCATAGACCTAATCCATACCAAACGCCGTGCCAGATTATTATGGCAACGTACTAGACACCCCACCGATCGCCAATCCTATAATTATTTTTGCAAAAAACTAAAGATAGAATTGGCCACCTTCAGATCCCAATCCTTCAACTCCTACCTCACTTCCCTCTCTTCTCATGACAATTCCCTATGGAAGACCACCAAACATATCCTAAAACCCCATCACATATCACATCCTCTCCGTCGAGGTGATGGCTCTTGGGCAGCATCTGACGAAGATAGAGCCGAAGAATTCGCCAAAAACCTTTCCCTTACATTCACCTCTCATCCAGAATCCAATCCCACCCACACGTCAGCAGTAGAGGAATTCCTTAATTCACCCATCCCACTCTCCTTACCGCCTAAAGTAGTTAATCCTTCTGAGGTCAAATTCCTTTTACAAAAACTACCTACCCGTAAATCACCTGGATACGACCTGCTTACCTCTCAGATCCTTAGACAACTCCCTCCTAAAGCTGTCATATTCCTTACATACATATACAATAGCATCCTACGAACCACCCACTTTCCTCTTTTGTGGAAACATTCCACTATTATCCTGTTTCCGAAACCAGGCAAACCTCCCAACACCTCAACGTCCTACAGACCAATTAGCCTTCTTCCTATTCTCTCAAAAATCTTTGAAAAGATCCTCCTAAAACGCATCCTACCCTTTATAGAATCCCAAACTCTTCCTTCCCATCAGTTCGGATTTCGTTCACAACACTCTACAGTCCAACAAGGACTCCGAGTGGTTGATCATATTTCCGCAGCATTGGAAAGCAAGCAATATTGCTCGGGTGCATTTCTGGACATAGCTCAAGCTTTCGACCGGGTATGGCACGCCGGGCTTCTTTCCAAGCTGAAAAACTATCTTCCTCAGTCCTTGTACCTTGTTCTCCGTTCCTACCTCTCAGATCGTACCTTCCGAGTTCGTTGCGGTACTGAATTTTCGCATTGCTATCCAATTGAGGCAGGTGTTCCTCAAGGTAGCGTATTGGGTCCCGTCCTTTACATCCTCTTTACCGCCGATATCCCTGTCCATCCCGATACCTTCCTGGCAACTTTTGCTGATGACACCGCTATTCTATCATCCGACTCAGATCCCAACATAGCATCCTTAAATCTCCAAAACCACCTCACCTTGATTGAGCACTGGTGTAATAACTGGCGCATTAAAGTTAATGAATCTAAATGCCAACACATTACCTTTACACTCCGACGCAGTTCCTGTCCACCAGTACACTTTAATTCCATCCAGCTTCCTTACTCAGACACAGTCCGGTATCTTGGCTTTCATTTAGACCGAAGACTGACGTGGAACCCACATACTAGACTCAAAAGACAAGAACTCAACCGACGATACGGCCAGCTATACAGACTACTAAACAGAAAATCCAAACTTTCTATTGAAAACAAATTACTTATCTACAAGACAATACTGAAACCTATATGGACATACGGACTTGAACTGTGGGGTACAGCAAAAGCTTCTAACATCAAACGTATTCAATCCTTTCAATCTAAAGTCCTTCGAACAATAGTTGATGCTCCGTTCTATGTAAATAACAAAATCCTACACCATGACCTTAATATCCCATTTGTCCTAGACCTTATTCCAGAAAAATTCTCCAAATTTCACCAGAACCTTACCTATCATCCAAATCCCCTTGCACAATCTCTATCCAGCACCACCCATCCTTACAATCCTCCTCGAAGGTTGAAGCGGCAGTGGCCCAGAGACCTTTTGTAAATAAGCATCTATTGGAGTTTTGGCAATGGCCAGATCCTCCACTCAAGCCCGAGTGTGTATGATTAGGTTAGTTCTTTTGTTTATATACATTTATTTTATTTTATTGTATTTATTTTTATTTTATTTATTGTATTTATTATTATTAAGTTTCTGTATTATTTTATTTTTTTTTTATTGTAAATAGAGTGTGAGTGTGCTTTCTCTGAACACTATTATAAATGTCCTTGATGTGACAGAATGTAATATTTCTAAATAAACAAAAAAAAAAAAAAAAAAAAAAAAAAAATGGCCTGTACGGGTGATATGATGTTTAAAATTAATCTTTCAAAAATCAGGCCTTCATTAGGATTGCTCGTTCGAAGGATACGACGAATAACTTTTTTTTTTTTTTTCAGCGGCCCTTATTTGTTTATTGCGAGTGATCTAACCTGCGTACTTAAAAAAATTCTTTTTGAGCTATTTGTTTTATTTTTTTTTTTTTAATGCTCCTTCAAGGACCACCTAAATATAATTTTATCTAGGTATTTTTTTTCCAAAATAAAGGAGAAAAAAAATTCTAAAACTAAATCAGGTATCCGCCACTGGTAAAAAGTATAAAAATCTAATTTTAATTTCGGGAAAGGAATCGCGAACTTATCTAGATTATCGCGTAGATTATCTACAGGAAAAAAAACAAGCATTTCCCGCCTATAACCTAGTCTTGATTTCTCCTTCACTTTTGTTTTTTCTAGTTATCGCAGATTACGACGCCTTTAAAAAAGCCATTTTTGTTTCTAACTATATAATTTGTGCTGTCCATGTTTATTTTTAGCTTCAGTTCTTAGCAGCTTGCACCAACGTTGTCTTCAATTTTAAAGCTTCCATGTGGTCGCTTGACAAAACCAAATTATCAGTATCCTCAAATACATATATTGTTCCACTCTGATTCAACTTATCAATTCTCTAATAGTATATTCCAGTGTATACTAAATAAGTACATATTTGTAATTTTTTTTTTTTTTTTAATTTCCTATTCTACGCTGGTGTGTAACATGAATGACAAATATTAAATGTAAGTGTTCTCGTAAAAGAAGAAAGTGGTAACTTCAGATGGTTCTGTGAAAAAGTTCAGTTCTCATTTTAGTGGACTAGATTGAAAGGCACTGATCCAGGCGTTGCACAGGTGGAGTGAGATGGCGGGGGAGGAGGTAGATGGCGCTGTTCGGTCTGGCCTGGCTGCTCAGGGTGAAGGCGGAACTGAGAAGACAGCAGCTGCCACCTCCTCCTCGTCAGCAAGTGTTCACCCTGGACCCCGGCCCTTCGCCCTTCTGTGAGGTCCACGGCTACCGCAGGCACCAGAGCAGGCCACGCGCCAGTCCTCAGCAAACAGGTATTCACTCCATGTCCAATAGTAGCACCGTCAATATTACCCGCATCTGTCGTAGTGTATCCAGCTCTTGAAACAGAACAATAAAAACTGTATGTATTATTATTATAAATGTAAGGCGGTCCCTCCACGCCCTGTGGTATAATAAAGGCCATAGATGTATATGGAGTCAGGGCCCGAAAATCGACCTGATCGCAGACGAAGGTTTGATTGTAAATTACTCAACTGTATGTTGTTCTGAGTAAAAATAACCTTGTCTGCCGTTCCAGAGCCGATGCTTTAAATAATGGCGGCTGATTTAAAGAATATTAGGTCTGTAATTTGAGGATCGAAACGGGAAATCCATTGCGAAAAATGTGAGAAAACTTTTTACAGCCAAAAAAGTCAGAATTTTTCGATATTTTTTTGGTTTTTTCACCTATAACTCCTAAATGATGCATCGAAGAGAAAAATTTACTAATTAATAAACTAAATAGCGTTAAATTTTGCATCGAACGAGTACATAAACTTTATAGTTTGGTAACCTTTTAAGGTATAAAACAACGGTCAACCCACGCTGATTTTTACCAAATTGTTCAAAAACTGACATAATTTACTATAATTGGCCATATAACTTCGAAATGAGTTTCCTAAGAGGAAAAACCCATAGAATAAAAGTTGTAGACCATCAAATTTTGCGTCTGCTGAGTACCAATTAATTTAATGTAGTTAACTTATTCTGAACAAAATCGGTAATTTCCCGAAGGTTGGAAATTGTAAATGAAGGTAAATGTGATTTTTAATATTTTAACAGCATGGGTGTCTATTCTACTTACTTATTTTTGTTTAGAGGCTGTTACATGCTGTATAAGCCTCTTTTCCACCTCTCAGCAGCGAAGGATTTTGATAAACGATGCGTCGAAAGATACCGAATTTCATAAAATAATAACGAATCCCGATTTGAGATATATAATTGACCTTCAATCAAAATGTTAGTACTCAGCAGAGGCAAAATTTGATGTTCTACAACTTTGATTCTATGGGTTTTTCCTCTTTTGGAACTCATTTCCAAATTATAGGACCATATATAGTAATTTGTGTCAGTTTTTGAAAAATTTGGTAAAAATCAGCGTTGGTTGACCGTGGTTTTATACCTCATAAGGTAACCAAACTATAAAGTTTATGTACTCGTTCGACGCAAAATTTGACGCTCTTTAATTAATTAAATTAAAAATTTCTCTTCGATGAATCGTTTAGGAGTTATAGATGAAAAAACAAAAAATATCGAAAAATTCTGACTTTTTTGGCTATAAAAAGTTTTCCCGTGGTGGCCCGCGTTAGTAATTTTGTTTTTCACATATCTGAACCCATATATACAAGTTAAAAAAATAAAAACTATTCCCACATTTTTCGCAATGGATTCCCCGTTTCGATCCTCAAATTACTAGCCTAATATTTTTTAAATCAGCCGCCATTTTTTAAAGCAGCGGCTCCGGAACGGCAGACAATGTTCTTTTTACCCAGAATTACATACACTTGAGTAATTTACAATCAAACCTTCGCCTGCGACGAGGTCGATTTTTGGGCCCTGGCTCCAGGGCTAATGGTATGCCTTCAGCGTACAGATCTCTTTTTACTTTAAAGTGCCTGCGGGCAATAAAAGGAAGTTTGTAAATTTAGTGTATATATTTGTTTGATTATATTTTATGGGTGATAAATATTCAGGACGCAGTCTTTTTAATTTTTTTATTATTTGTGCCGACGTTTCAACCCTAAAATGTGGGTCATCATCAGGGCTGAAAATTTTAAAATACAATCAGAGATACAATATTATACGACCGATAATGGTAAATAATATACATGTATAACTATATGTGTAACTTTTTACATATTTCATTTTTAATATAGTGTACTGTAATAATAGTTAAGATTCGTATACCATCAATCACTATAGTTTATTATTTACCATTATCGGTCGTATAATATTGTATCTCTGATTCTATTTTAAAATTTTCAGCCCTGATGATGACCCACATGTTTGGTTTGAAACGTTGGCACAAATAATAAAAAAATTAAAAAGACTGCGTCCTGAATATTTATCACCCATGATATGTAGAACAGTCGACAACTTTCCTTCAAGTATCTATATATTGTATTTGTTTTATTAAATAAATTTCTGGGGGGTCGGAAAAAAAAAAATATTTTTATAAAAGAGCATATATTGAATTTCTATGGACGTACGCAGGGGTGGGTATGAGGGCCGTTTCGTTCTCCTTCCCCTAAATATTTTGAAAGAAGATATTGTAAAAAGGTTTATCGAAAATCCAAGATAATAATTTTCTTTAATATTGGTCTTCTATATATATACTGTTTTTCATATAAAAATATTTATAAATTGTAATAACGATAAACTACATAATAAAATATTATAGAGTTTGAAATCACTCATTTACCTGAGATGTTCCTTTATTCAGTGTTGCCTTCCTCCCTCCCTATTCTGAAAGATGCGTACGCACCACAGTGGGACGAGTAAGAAAAAACTCGCGACATATGCTAAATCTATTTTTGTTTTTTTCAGCACTCTAAAAACTATATATATACTGTTTTATTGATACCTTGTGGGATTCGTGAAGTTCTCGAAAATATTTTCGGTTGGCAGATGATACATTTTACACTGTTTTTATTGAATAGTTTAATTGAAAAAAATAAATAGATTTAATCGTTGTCGCGAGTTATATGTTATTCTTCCCAGTGTGTTCCCTTGTGAATCTCTCAATAATACTCTTGTAGTAGCACTGTCTAGACATTTTGTTTTCACTTATCAAGCCCTCTCATAAGTAATATCGGTTGTTAACAATTTACCTGTTTATGTTGCAATTACCAATCCTTCTTTCATAATTGAATTGTATTTACATATTTTGTTTATTATAGATTTACATACTCTCATTTTTATGATGCTTTTGTTGAAGAAAGTTAGTTAATTTGCGCTTAAATTGCAATGGACTTCTAAAAAAAAAATGACACTTACGCTGTCTTTATACTTTAGAAATTTAATAAATAAGAAAATACTGCTTCAACTTATCTTCTATAAATATATGACTTTTATAAATATATAAAAAAAAAAAATCATTAGATAACAATGACAGTTACGTCCTCGGAAAACGTCAAGGACAGAAACAAAAGGGAAGAATTTCACCTCAAAAGAGTTGGTGTAACATTCCAGGCACATTTATATCTTAAATAAGTAATTTCACTTTCGTATGATTTTTCTTTTTTGAGCTAGACAGCTATCAAAAACACACACAGACCATTTTGCATCACTTGCATACTTGGGATTCATGAGACCTCAAAACGTAAAGTTTCCCTCACTATATGTTTCATATATAGGTAAGCGGATGTAAAAATTATTGATACTTATTTAGTGGGATATGGATGGAATCGGTCATCATTAATTTCTTGGCCTTAACTAAATTATTACTGAAGTTCTCTAATCTGATCAGCTGGATCGACTGAAACGGGCAGTTAAGAAAAAACATTCCTCGCTTATCAATAGACAAGGAATTCTAATCCACCATGACAATGTGAGACAATTAGCAAACAAATTGTAAAACTTGAACCCCACACGAACCTATCTCAAATGGTGGGTGTGAACAAAAAAAAAAGAAAACATTATTAATGGTACATCTGTGTTTTCACATGAAGAAAACCTATACAATTTCATTATGAAGGGTCTCTTGTTCGGGAATCAGTAAGGATATACTGTTTCTTTACCAACGGTTGCCAAAAGATGTGAATCGGCCGCCATCTTTTCCAATTTAGGAATTTCACTATTTAGAGACTGAGTATGCTCCAGAGAGATTTCTTCAGCTCTATGGATGATATCGTGGTAATACTTATAAATTATTATCTGCCAAAGCCTGATTCGAATCCGAAATCGAGACTTACATACTCTTTTCGACTTTTTATCAACTATTAGAATGTTATACTTTACCATAATGGTGTTAGTTGTTATTAATGTCTATCGGAAGGCAATTATTACGAAGCTATGTATAAGCAACATAACTGTCATAACACGGAAGCTTCACTTATTAGTAGATGTACCTCTATCTTTGATGGGTAGAGGCTGGTTACTGCTAGGGGTCATGAACATGAAGGGATCAAAGGCAATGAAATTGATTACAGGCGTTCCAGAGGGGTCGGCACCAATAATCATGACTGTCGATACAGGGTGGATCTGGAATATATCAGATATCTTAACTGGAAAAGCATTGGAGAAATAAAACTAAAATATAAAATAATGAGTTTTTCTTAGATTTCAAGTCTGTGTATGTGTGCCTAAAATTATTATATGATAATTCTTTTTATTATTTATTTTATTTATATGCTTATCAAAATTTACATCTGTATTAAATAAATAAACCAGTAAATGTGATCAAATAATTAGGAAATAACGACATGAACAGACTTTTGGAGATTCTACCCAATGGGAGCACTTCATTTGATAAATGTTAAGAACATGTTATAACTAAATTTAACAAGATCTTTTTAATGAATCTTTAACTGATCACATACCATTTCAAGAACATAAAAAATCTGTTAGGCTTCTGTTTGTATCTGAAACATGACAAATGGTATAAACATTTTTATCTATTTATTCATTCTGTTTATGAGTCTGAAACTATAGCTTTCTAAATATGGTGTATCTCAATTAGACCGTAGTTTAAACTGAAAATATTATAATGGCATAATCCAAGAATCAATATAACAGGTTATTTGTGCTATCTGCCGCATTGGAGGGCAACAATAATTAAAGATGTAAGGGTTCATTCACTGGATATATATGTATATACAAAAGTAAATAATTAAAATATATTAATAAAATTTAAAAACGATAATAAATAAATAATATTAAAAAAATAAAATACTTGTAGTTGGATAAAAAAAAAAATTAATCATTTAAATACACATTCATACTTATGTAAAATATTTACAATCTTATGCTACCATCTATGGAGATTAAGTAATAACACTATATACACAAATCTTGAGTGAATAATCTTACAATTTTCGAAACTCCATTTACTCATATTTACAAACGGTCGCAGGGTCACTGTCGTTTCTACCTTCGGAGAGGATTTTAAGTAGTGGATGGAATCGTGAAGGAATTTTTTTTATTTATTTATTTATTGAGTAACACAACAATCTGTCTCTTGGACATTGGTTGTATTGAGGAGGATGACATTCACACTATATGTACAAAAACTATAAAATAAATAGATGCAAAATAATAATCAAAAGTATATACAATAAATCATAAAATAAAATAACCTAAAAATAAGAAAATTAAAACTAAGCTAAACAACACATGCGTGCATACCTAATACGAAGGAAATTAGGGGAATTTGTCAATCATAAAGTCTTGAAGAAATGGGATATTGTATATCATTTATAACAAGAAGCTTAAAAATTGTTTACACGTTTGGATAGTCTGAAAATAAGGTTAAACTTTTTTTTTTTGTTTTTTTTTGCGCGCTCAACAATGTATTACCTTTTGGAAGCAGAGCGGCAGTTTCCATTGGTCTTCTTTAGCATATGATTTGCAGAACGATTAGAGAAATTTATTACATTAATTATGAATGTATACAGTATTATCAACGTTTTCTTTGCGTTTCCTAAGAATTAGAATCCTGTTTACTAGTTACCCAAGCTATGAAATTCTGCTCCTAAACTGTGGAATAGCTCTCTGTATATACACGTTCTTAAGATCCACTAACAATTAGACGATGACCCGCTAAAAGCAATAAGGTAGAAGTGCCCTTCACCCTAAAGAGATTTGCCCTGCTAATAGCTGTGTATATTAACAGTGACTCCTGCCCAACCCGGGGTAGGCCCACCGGCCTTAATTATGAATAACGTCTTTATGAGGCCTAGACCGCCGAAGGCCCAAGCAACAAGTAATCTTCAAGGAGCTAATTGCTGGTCGTGTTCTCTAACCTATTGGAGAAAACTACTTAAGATATATTGCGATATTGACAACTAAATTTGACCCATTATTACTAGATGCATATAGACCCTAGTCCTCGGAATAGGGTTTGTTCTATAGCGATAAAGTGGGGTGTTATTAAAGACATAGGGTAAAGGTGATTTATGAAGGGATCAATTGTAATTTATTTTAATCCTCCAGTTTTACACCATTCTTCAAGGTTTGCGTGACTGAAGAATCTGGGATGCAATTGATGGATAGTTATTAACTGATAGCATACATGAGTCATCAACATGTGGACTTAGGATGGGTGGGAATATTAGCTGTATAAACTGTGTAAAGGATAAGACCAAGCATAGTACCATGAGGAACACCGTCAGATTGAGAAAAGAGGGATGAATAAGTATTATTGTGATTTGCTTTGATGTGACTATATTTTAAGATCAATATATATTTTTATCTATAAATTGTGTTTTAAACTTAATATTATCTTATAAACCCTATTATATAAACTTCAGAATAATCAATTAATTAATGATATTAGATACGTCATCATTGCAAATTATACTCATGATTCGATTTTAATTATGAATGACTTCTCTCGCAACTTTTTTCGGAGTCAATAAATAGTTATTGAAAAGATAGCTAATGGAAAGGGAAAGCTGTGCGGGGGGGCCTTTCAATGCCGGGACTCGAGCACTCTCCTTATCTGGCGAGTGCCGATTGAGGGGCCGATGCGGGACTATTCACCAGCCGATAGGATGGAACCTCTGACAGCTTTACTGATACATTCTGTCTGAGTGCTGCAGCTCTTCCACGGCACGCCTTCCCAGCTTTATTCTCTCAAAACCAAAACTTCTAGGAGAAATCATCTTGTAATTAGCACATTTTGCAGAGTTCTTATAATTAAAATGACAAAACGATTAAAGAAGGAGGTTCCAATTTAGATGACAAATAAAAATAATTTAACTGATCGTAACAGATGAAGACATTTCAATTTAAAAAAAAATATTTTTAAGGCATTATTTATTTATTTTAACCGTAACTATGACCTGTTTAGCACCTTTAAATGAGTTTGATATTATGATATCGATTGCTATGTCTTATCCCCAAAAAAGAGATGACATTAAAAGTTGCTACGCTTTGGGCTATTTAAATTTTTAGATAAACCCAGAAATATTTAATAAAAATTAATAATACAAAATTAGTAAAATAAATTTGGATCTATAATATATTGATTGGTCCACAATTAATTAAGCGGATTTCTTTTCTCAAAGGCTGGTTTGTGTTTATTATGCTTTCCAATCACCTGATCATCATGATATATATGGGTGGCAGAATTAAAATATATTTTACTAAAAAACTTAATTTATTTCTATGTTACATAAGGAATATATACAAATTATATTTACAAGAACAAAATATGTGATTCAATGAATTTAATAATTAACTCTAGGACTCCACCTGGACAAACGTCTCACTTGGAATCCTCATACAAGACTGAAACGACAAGAAACAGCTCAACGTTTCCGACTACTTCAACAATTACTAGACAAACGCTCTAACCTCCCAATTAATAACAAAAGACTCATTTACATGACTATAATAAGGCCTATTTGGACTTACGGAGTTGAGCTATGGGGCTCCACCAAACCTTCAAATTCCTCTCGTATCCAATCCTTACAATCAAAAATCCTTCGTAAAATCCTCTATGCTCCTTACTTTGTTACAAATAAAATCATCCACAATGACCTTAATGTTCCTTATGTATCAGATTTGGCCCAATCCAGACATTTGTTCTTCAATAATAAACTTCATAACCATCCCAATCCTCTTGTTTCTAACCATGATTCCTATTCAATTCCTGAGAACCCTCCGATGCGTCTGAAAAGAAGATGGCTACGTGATCTCCTAATATAGACATATTATTAGAGTGTTATCAATGGGTAGTTTCTCAACATGTGTTATATCCATGTCATTATATCCATGTACGTATTTTTTTTATACAGTTGTAAATATCATATAAATAAAAAAAATAAATAAATAACTTTGAAGGCATGATTTCACATGGGCTGTTTGAGAATTGTATTGCCATGAAATATTCTAACATTGGTGGAAAATTTATTGTTGGGAATAACACTTATCCCTTGTATAAGAAGTGGTGCGGTTAGTAGATTGCATCGCTGCATCCGCTGATCCGAGGTCATCTTTTCAAGGCCAGGTCCAAAAACTTCTCCAAGACACCAATCTGTGTGGTCCATGTAGGCCCCAAGCAAAAAGAAATATCTGACCTGTCCTTCAAGCCGAAAATCCAAATAAGACCTATCCTCAAGGCCGGACAGCGACATAAGACCTCTTTTCTTCCTTTTCGGTAGATGTTATAGACATTTTTTAGGGTGGGGCAAGAATGGTCCTCATTGGTTCTTAACGTCACCCAGTTACTCAACAATAACTGGTAACACCCTAAAAGGAACCAGTTACTTATCCCGTTACTAGTTTTTACTCTAAGCTTTCCCGAGTCAGGTATAGGGTCGGTCCTTATCTACCTACTTTCTACCTTTGACGCTGTTTTTGATGTCAGAAGTCGATTTCGTTCACCTTTGTTTTTTTCACTTAATGTTCAATACATGATATTGATGTTTCATTTGTTTTATGTTTATAATAAGGAAAGTAAATTGATGAAATTACGGAACGAGTTCCTTTCTGCAAAAGTATGAAAATCAAGGACATCATTTGTTATTTTTCAAATAAGAAAAACTTTATGTTACCTCTTTCTAGACGTTTATGTCGTCATGAACACCTTCATTATATTTTAAAATAGATCTTGAAGTTCTGCATAAGAATTCTAAAGGAAAGTGGAGAGCTTCAAAAGAAAAATATAATGAGAACAGCTTCAAATGTATGGGCACTTGGAATAAATACATCATAAAGAATATGAGGTACAAGTAATAGAGACTGCTTTCTCGAAAGCAACAAGTCTTGAAATCGAAGAAAGCTACCCTTAAACTGAAATCATTACCCATGTTTTTAATGAGGTATTATTCCCTTTATTTAATCAACACAAAAATATACTTACCAATAGAAATTATTTAGAAATAGAGATTTATAAAAATAATCCCTAATTAATTAAGTTGAATTAAAGGTGGTATTAGTGGACTGTTTACTATGTTTATGTTTACAGATTATAATTAGCCATTATTAATCTTCTCGTTTTTGATAAGATTTACTGTTATTCCAATTGATTGCACCGTATAGCCTAAAAGAAAAAAAGGTTATATTGTCATTCTTCAACTTATA